CCTCTAGGTGGGGCTGAAAAAACCCCAGACTGAACTCCCTCCACTCCCTTCCTTTCCCACCCCCCTTCTGAAAACAGAGACAGGCTGGGAGGTCCCCAGGCACAAGTTACAGAAGATGCTACGTTTTGAAATGTCTTCATCTGATACCTCACCCAACGAGGGATCAGATTTTCACCCAGTCAACCATTTGTGAAGCTGTCTGCAGCCATCCACTTGTGTTTGGTCACAGCTATAAACTATTTTCTGGGGCCAGATTGGGGAAAAATCATCACTTCTGTCTGCACCCATGGTGGAAATATGACCTCTCAAGCTATAACCATCACCATAGTTTTCATCCAACCCTTGGGATTTTGCTACTATTTGCCTTTGTTAAGGCACAAGATTTTTAAATTTGGAAAATGGGCCATGCAAATTTAGAAGGTCTTATAGGCTGGTTGTAGACATTAAAAAAACAACAACTGAGTTTGCTTTAAACTCAGCGGGGTCCTGGGCCAAGCCCAGCACATGCCCAGAAGAGGCATCATGATGGGCCCAGCTCTCCCAACATCTCTATGGAGTGAGCAATATAGTGGGACTTTTTTGGTGCTTTTATCTAATAACTAATTGAATTAGCTTTAGATAAAAGGGCCCAAAAGCCCTGCTGAAGTGCCCAGTCTATACACTGGTTGCAGAGCCAGGTTGAACTAATGCGCTGCTTTTGCCGGTAAAGTGTGTTTGTTTGTTTTTTTGTTTTGGTTTTTTTTTAAGGTGTGCAGGCAGTCATAATAGTGATTTACTGAAAGATAATGAATTACATAGGCTCTCTGCAGACACATGAGAAGGATAGCTGGTCCTGTTGGTACTTTCCCACCTGCTGGATTATTATAGAATAACTCTAGAACAAATTAATCAATTAGCATTAGTTAAGGAGAGGGAAGTTGAAAGCTGGGATAATGGACAATGAAACTGAAATAGCGTTATTGTAGCTGTGGTTGTCCAGGGAATATGCAATAAGAAAGACTTGTAAAGGAGGTAGTGCTGTTTATTGATTAGCTTTATAGTTGCAAGAGACATTAAACAAAACTTAGGTAAACACCAGTTTTAAAAATTACTTTCCTTAACTCCATGGTGTTAATGAATGCAATAATTTAAACCAGGCATCAAAGCTGAGGACCAAAGAACTTGAGAGTTACAGACCAAGTAAAGAAGAGGTTCTTGGTCATTTAAACCTGTAGTTAAATCTGATTATGTAACAATAGGACCATTCAAAGGGGAAGAGAGCTGTTATCACCTGCTAAGCAAAGACAGGTTAGCAGAGGTAGTGGGTAAATAATGAGCCATAAAACCATTGCCTACCTTAAGGCTATGGTTTCTGGTATCCTACAAAGCTAGAATTTTTTGTTTCCAAGCCTGACTTCTGAAGTTATTTTGTAGGTTTTACTTGAAGATGAAGACTGGAAGGTTAGAGATGGCATAGTTCTTCTGTGAAAAGTACTCCCACGGGTCATTGGGTATTTCTGTTCCTTATAATTTTTATGAGAGTTTCCTCTGGAGAAACTCTGCTTGCAGAGTTTCTTTCAGATAATGAGTTTACCCTGGCTGGGTGGAAAACTTTTATCATCTTCAGGTATATGTTGTAATTGTTTAATGATCTTGTTTATAGGTTTTGAATAGAACTGCATATTTAGTTGAGGGTTGCAGCAAAAGGAGGGTAAATTTGGTGAGAGTGAGTAGGGATGGTGGTAGGGCAGGGTAAGAAGAGGATTTGGCATAGAAGAGGAAGGGTGAGATACTAAGAGAGATATTGCTGATTGGCAGAGTAAGTGGCAGGCTTGTAGTGTTGGGAGCTGTCAGCCCCATATTCTGTCTTGGGGACCCCAGTCTCCAGTGGGTTCTGATTCCTCTCCCTGCCCCCATGAGTGCACTAGGCATTGCAGGGAGTGGTCCCCTTTGCTGCTGTAATGCATCAGAGTCCATCCCCCTAGTCTCCTTCATGTGAACTGGGAGGCAGTTTGGAAGGGAGTTGAATTGGAAGTGCCATGCCTATGGCTGTGAAGGCCTGGACACAGCGTGGGCAGAAGACTTGGCTGATGGGGGTGGCACAGATGGGCATAGGGCACAGCTCAGGGTACCTTTAAATAGAGCCTGATTAGGGTCTGAAAAATGCTGAGCATTTCTGCAAGACGCTGTTAACTCTCAACTCCTGCTGGCTGTAGTGGGAGTTGAGGGCATACACCAACTGATGTATGGGCTCAGTTATGCCCTATAGGCCATTAGCAATTTAATGATCCTGATGATCACATGCCAAACAGTGTAGAATGTACTGCTTATAGCGGGTATTGGGGTGGAGGATAACACTAAAATACCCCAAGAAGGGCACTGTATGCCCAGGAGCTTGTCTAGTATCTCTCCCAACTATAGAGTTCATCAAATAATATAACAACCCACAACCCATCCCAAAATACCCAAACAAATCTTTCCTCTCATACATTTCCTGTACCCTTACATCTGCAGCAATGCTCCAACCCTGTTAAAATGACCCCATCACTAGCATTTTTTTTCCCTAAAATGACCTTTCCCTTGTGTGCTTTTTTAAAGATATCACTTAAAGTGAGAGCTTGACATGTGGGCAAACATTTTTAGTTGAACAGGGTGGGTTACAATGTAAAAAATAGCAAAATCAATTATCTAATTTATGCAGGGTGAACCATTAAGTTGATGGTATGCCAAAGTGTTACCTTATTCTTATGTTCACACTGGGTGATTGCTCCTGTTCTTTAATGAATGTTGTTTTATGAATTGGATCAAAGTCTCAAAACATTTGAAAATAAATGGAAAGGGCAAGAAAATCTCATTGAAGTCAATGGGTAAACCAGAGACATTGGAGCAGACCTTTGTGCCAGGTCCAGTAAGAACTTTGATGCCCAGATATAGTTTTTTGTGGTGACTCTCCGAACTTGCCATCTGCTGCAATCATGACAACAGTTCACTCTGACAAAGCTGGGATGTCAGTATAATAAAACTATCTTGCTAGAGTTGTTCCAGAATAACAGTACTCAACAACATAGCTGAAGGAGCAGACCTAAGATATGTCCAAGCCTTAAGGCATGTGGCCCTTGCATAACCCTGGGGGATTAATGTGACTTGAGAAAGTAGTGTCACGAGTGATCATTCTAGGAAAAATATAATCTCATTTCTCATGTAAAATTTATCATGGCTCAGGTAAATTATAATTACTGTAAAAGTTTATTATAATTAATATTCCCAGCATAGCTTCTGACTGCAGTTAAGCCTTTTATTCCAGTCTTCACTCGGTCTCTTGTGATAGCTTCTGGAATTTCACACAATCCAACTTGTAGGCAAAACACAAGCAAACATTCAGAAGCAGCCTGATTTATCTTAAGAAGTGTGCAGTGTAGGAGAAAAACCTTGTATCCTGAGCAGAGAACAAGAGTTTCTAGATAAACAAGCTGCTCAATGCTTAGAGAAAATGTCAGTTATGACGGGGACTAGGGGCTGAAATCCATAAAGTGGGTCCTCTAAAGTTGAATTCAAGCAGAATTAAGGTACCTAAATCCAAAACTATGATTATGGAAGTCCTGTATAGCTGCTGCCTAAATCCAGAGGCACTTAACTGCATAAGTTCCTCATGCTGATTTTGTTCCCCAGTAGCCTGTATTTTCACTTAAATCTCAAACTGCTTTAGTCTGAGCAACTCAGAAGCTAAAAACCAATCTGGATCTAGAAATTAAACATTCCTATGCTTAAGTCCCCTTAGTTGCACAGACTGTGAGTTATTCTCCAGGGAGAACTTACACACATGCAAAGAATTGGGCTATCCACAAAATGCAATTGCTGATGCCACTTTTTTTGAAAGCACAGGAGGAGTTGGTGGTTACTGCTGTGAAATAGCTGCCTGTGGCAGAGGAGGGAATTGAATCATGGGCTGGCTGGCTGACCAACCACTGTATTCGTGAGAATGCTCAGAGCCTGGGACCCCAGCAATGAGAACGTCCTGCGTGTCTGCCGTGTCTCCTGCCTCTACGCCAAGCTGATGTGCTGCCTCATGGTGTCCGACACGATCCGCTAGTCCCGTGACATCTACGTGGAGCACATCACAGGCCACCACCAGTACCCCGACCCCACCAGATGGACCGCTGCTGGACTGGACCTAGAGGGGACTGCCTGAACCCACCTCTGCACCTGATGGACTTCACTTCGAGAAGAACCTTCAGCAATGGACTACCCCAGTCCACCCAAAGAGGACCCCGCAATGAGACTCTATATGGACTCAGAAACTTTCACCAACTTACTGCCTCCACCACTGTGGACCATTGTACAGGTTTGTGTGCATCTATCTTCCTTTTCTCTCAGCATTGCGAACCCCGCCCCCCTTAGTTGGCTAACATTGTATTTTCTGTTGGCTTAGTTGGCTAACATTGTATTTTCTGTAACCTCGTTGTGTTCCCCTCCTCACCCCCATCCCTCTTATGTTAGTCCCCTGCTTGGGCAATCCATATCTCCCTACTGGCTTTGTCATCTTTTTGGATTCGTAAAATTCAATCTATTCTCCCTAAGGAAGCAAACTGCTGACTTTGAGTTGGCTTAATTTCAGCTTTCTGAATGTGTTTGGACTTCACATAGGGCCTTTCCTTGCCATTGCTGATTGTACTAGAGGAGCTCAGCACTCACTTTGAGGAGCCAAACTTTCCTTAAGTCATGATATTAAAAGTCTCAGATTTCAAGACCATCTCTGACAGCCATGGGGTGTGCACAGCCAATATTGATATCAAACACTTCCCTTGATGTTTGGCGAATAATGACTATGACTTTATTATACCTTCTGAAGCAAAGTAAAAAAATGGTGAGAGAACATTTCAGAAAAGATAAAATGAAGCTCTGAAGGCAAACCACAAATTGAGAAACTGGGAGTAAAAGTCATGTAGTGATAGACCATAAGGATTTTTGAAGCAGAAACGACTTTCAACATTTCTTTCTGGCCCTTTTGCCCTTCTAGTGTGCTATAGCTGCCTATCTTCTAGAGTGGGGGCATCTCTGGGCTGTATTTCTTAAGACATGCAGCTGTTTTGGTACAATCAGTTCTTATAATTTATTGTCTGCAACTTGTAACACTTGGTAACCCTTGTTCTGTTTAAATTTGCACTTCTTTCTCTTGTCACAGCTATATTTGTATGTGTATTTGTATCATGTCCTTGGCTGCCTACAAAAGTTTCAAAGCCTTTTTAGTTCCAATTTAAAAGATTGTAATGCAAAGTATCCTAGATTTTGAACAGTTAATGGTTAGACCTTCAGCATTTTGTGCACAGACCATGTGGTCTCTGCCAGGTACTTAGACTCTATGTTTGGGTATGAATACATCAGCTTTGGAGAAGAATGCCTGTTCAGATCATCACATGATACAGTTGTTCTGCTACTGGTGTTTCTGTCACAACAAGAAGGAAAATACAAAGCATGCCTTAATCATTTCCATTTTCTAAAAATAACATTGTTCCTGCTCCAAGTGATGCCTGAAAAAGAAAGAGGGATTCAGTACAGACCTTCCCCCTGCCCCCATCCCGAAACACCAACAAGGTGTTGATGTCTGTTATATAAATACACAAAATGCTATCTATTCACATATACAAGAAGGACAGACACTTTTGGAATTTGAACTAGGTCTAGGGGACATGCTTGTGGTAAGACGGACAACTCATAAACATCAAGGTCTAACATCTTGTAACCTTTTGGACAGGAATGCTAGTGAGTTGATGCTTGTAGCAGGCACCCCTAACCCCTGCTGCTTAGAAAGTGGGAAGCCAGAATCACAGAGCTGTAAGTAGGGCCAGCTGCAGAGTAACATGCAGCCAGGGAAAACCACAAGGAGTTAAAGTGCAGCAGGAGAGAGAGAGCAGTGGCTGCCAACACATGATGACAGGCAGAGTACTGGGCTAATTAGAAAACCCTGGCCAAGGAGAAGGCCATGTGATCAAACATGGTAAAGACCAGCCTGCTGAAAGCCTGGACCCTCAACCAGAGAGTTCAGTCTAGCCCTGACTGCTGCTGAGAACAGAATGCTTGTTGGCCTGGGCTACACCAGGGGAAACCTAGGTAATATAGGGACCTGGGGAAGCTGCAAGGACCAGCAGCTGCAGGACAAATGTTTGCTGGGACCCTGGGAGAGCCAGGACAGGGTCTGAGTGACTTGTAGCTGGCAGAACACTGGAGAACTGTGTGTGTCTGATGAGGGTGGTATGGAGGCTATAGGTGAAGGTGCTTGGAAAATACCCTGAAGTAGGAGAAGCTAAAGCCTAAATAAGGAGTCCTTCTTGGCTGTGGGACCCAGTGTGCTGCATGCAGCTAAAACCAAACAGTTTAGAGGTTGGAGGTAACAGTCCTGCAGAGTTAGGGACTCAGAGGGGCTCAGCCTAGTAAAGGGTGAGGGGCTGTCAAAAAACAAGAGTAGTCTTGCCTGGGTCAGGGACCCTAGGGGTCTAGAGCAGCGTGTGAAATGGGGCCAGGGGCCCAGAGAACAAGATAGGGAGGAGGTCCAGGGCAGTGGATCTGGGCTGAAGGGTGCAGCCAGAGAAAAAGGACTGAGGCAGGGAAAACTGAAGCCCAAAGGTGTAGGGGCTAAAGGGCCCTCTCTAAATTCATATGGAGTCACACCTGTAAGGCCTGGGTATGGCTATAGGCCACAAGACGGAGGCCATGATTTCAGTCTGATGTCCCAGGCTGTGTGCAGTGGGGTTGGAACCCTGAATCATCTGGGCCAAGTTGAGCCCAAAGAAGAAGAGCACTTCTGAGGGCAACCTCCCCACTTCATTGTATCATCAAGCCATGGCACAAGTGAGGTAGCAGGGGAGACCCTGTGAAGCCAGAGTGGGCAAGCAGGGCAGGGTTAAGGCAGCACAGGTTGGGGAGAGGGGGGTGTTATGGCTGTCCCAAGGGCCCGTCCTGCTAGGTTGCTTTGCAAGTAATAAACCAGACTGACCCTTGTGGTCAATTCTTTGTGTAACATTGACGTCTCCAAGGATGAACCAGCACAAGCACCACTGTCAGCAGTGCAGACAATACCCCAACAATATGCTTAATTATACACAAAGAACTACACTGGCCAAGCGGGAACACAGAGGAACAACCCTAGTGATCCTGATGTGAGCGAGTACATGGAGGAACAAAACTAAGTTGCTATACATAGTATGTTTCTTTGAATCTGTATTATTATTCCTGCTCTTTAAGATACCACTTAGAGCAGGAATAAGGTTATTTAAAAAATAAAAATGGTGATGGAGGCACGTTTTATTCTTATCTTGTAGCAACAGAAATGCCAGGAACAAAAGGACTGCATCACAGGATCTTTTGAATAAGTATTATTTTGCGCTGGTGACTTTTCTTACATAAGTCTGTGGCAGAATCCACATGGTAAGCGCATAAAATATTGACCTTCTGACTTAACTATTCAAAATCCTGGGCACTTTGCATTAGTTTTGAAATTAGAACTGAAATGGACTTTGAAATGTTCTACACATGATACAAATGCACATACATTAGTAGTGGAGGAGATGAGAAATAAGTATAAAATTAAACATAGCAAGTGTTCTTGTTCTCAGTTTCAGATAAGAAATGTAGAAGGACATATGAGTTTAAGAGGGGTCTGCCTCTAGAATTTCAGCAATAGTGGCACACCGAATGGAAAAAAGCTAGACAGAAATGTTGAAAGTCAGTTCTGCTTTTACATTCCTTAGGAACGACAGCCTGTATTTCCAGTTGTCATTTTGTGGTTTGCCTTCAGCACTTTGCTGTGTGAATCAATCCCTTCCCAAAATGTTCTCTCACTGTGTTTTCTGACTTCGTTTCTGAAGAGATAAAATATTCATAGATATCATCCCTGAACATCAAGAGAGGTACTTGATAGTAGCAGTGGTATGCCACAGGTGCTTAATTTAATAGTAGCAGCCTATGGAAGGCTGCATGTCGCATGGCTGTGACAGATGGTCTTGGAATCTGAGACTTAATGACACGAGTTACGGAAAGTGGAATAGCAATGGTGGGGAACAGAACTAAGGAGCCCAAGCACTATGAAGACTACAGTTCAACTTGAGCCACAGTCAGCTACTTTGTTGCCTCCAAGAGGAAGGATGGCCCAGTTGTGCTGAGCTAGCCTGCGTTTTTAGGAGATGGTGGCCTTGTCTGCATGTTCCTGGTTCTGCAGTAGGCCCAGCTGCCATCCCCAAACTGCCAGTGTGCACGCCCTTCTGGGGACTCGGCCCGTCTCCAGAGCAGCAGCCCTCCTGGCAGAGCCCACAGCAGCCTGGGAAGGCAGCAGCTACTGGAAGGACTGGTCAAACCAGTGGTAGGCCCTAGAACTAGAGGTCATAAAATGAAATGAGTAGGTAGTAAATTTAAAATGAACAAAACAAAGTTCTTTTCACACATTGTGAAATTTTTATTTTAATTATTTAGCATATGAAGTTGGTGAGGTCATCACCAGTGTGAACAGCTTGAAGACCAGCAGGTAACATAGTAAAGGGACACAAGTCAACAATGTGGCACATGGGTTGAATTTGTCATTGCGGCGGCCTCATTGGTATAGGTTTGAGGCACAGTGACCCTATTCAGTTTGAAAATGGTTGAAAAGTGCCCAATAATGACATGGCCAGTTAAATCCTGGCTGACTGACTGTGGGGTCAGAGATGTGGTGATTGATATGGTGCTTGTGCTGACCATTGGGTGTGTAATTAAAGCATGGAACTCATTGCCACCAGCTGCTGTGGACACTGACAGGTTCGCCAGATTCAAAAAGGGATTGGACAAATTCTTGGAAGAAAAGTGCACTGGTAGTTGTTGAGTGAAGGGCACAGCCTCCGAAGCTGAACTTCCTAGAGCTTAAATGCTGGAGGCTGCAAGTGGAAGAGGGACAGGGGAAAAACCTAGGCAGGCAAGGCTCTTTGAGTAGATGTGATATCTTTTATTAGACTGACTGAGTAGTTGGAAAAAAGTTCTTAGCAAGTTTTTGGGCATAATCACTCTTCTTCAGGCACAGGAAGTTTCTGCTGTCATATCCAGTTCATTCTCCCTTTCAGCATCTGCTCAGTGCCCGGCAGTTGTCCTGCACACACATCTCTTTCAGAAGGCAGCAGAAGCAGAGGCTGTGTTGGGGAGCCGTAGCGCGGCTCTGCAGGCAGCAAGCAGGGAGCTTTGCCAGTAGATGCTCCTGCTGCCACAGCTGGCCTGCATCACTTTGTGCCTCACTTCCAGGGGTGGATGGGGGGCTGCACACCCCTGCAGTTGCACCCCGCTGTGCTTCCTCCAATGCAATCAGCACTATGGACCCAAGCACCATAAACGCAACCGTTCAACTTGAGCTATGTTGTCAGCTACTTTGCTGCCTTCAAGAGGAAGGATGGCCCAGTGGTGCTGATCTAGCCTGCGTTTTTAGGAGATGGCAGCCTTGTCCGGGCGTCCCTGGTTCTGCAGTAGGCCCCTGTGCTTCCTGCTCCACCCGAAGTCTAAAACCAAGGGCCTAGCGGTGGTGGCAGCATTTCTAGTCAGGCAGCAGCGAGGGAGTCGGTTCATCCCCATCGACCCAAGCCCTTCTGAGCAATCCCAGCCCAGGGCAAGGCCCCTCTCTCCTTCGCGACGACCTTGATGCTCCACGACTCAAGCCAGCCTGTGGCTGGGCGGCGCCTCGCCACGC